CCAGCATCAGAGAAAATTGCTGCTGCCACCTTTCCCAGGCAGCAGTGGGACCCTCCCCTCATCCTGCATGCAGACCTGGGGGTTCGCAATCTTGTCCGTTGCTGGGTGCATCCCAAGCCCAGCACCGGTCCCAGGTTGGAGAGGCAGCCTGAGCCTCCTTTCATCCGGGGTGCAGATCTGGGGGCTCACACCCCTGGGAGGGCTGCCAGGCTGTGCCAGACCCCCATCCCTGGGGGTGCAGGCCCCTGGATCTGTGCCAGATGACAGGAGGCTGCTGCTGCCGTCTGGTACTGGTGCTGGGCACAGCCCATGCCCAGCACCGGGCTCCATGGAGCTCAGCCCAGCAGCAGGAGGTGGAGCGCAGCCCTGGTTCTGTTTGCCTCTCGCCACCGGGCTGCGCTCTGATCGGCTCCACCAGCCCTGTGGAGCTTAGCCTGGCAGTGGGAGGTGGATAGAGCCGGCGCTGCTCTCCAATCAGCTCTGCCAGCCTCAATGAGTGCAGCCCAGGGGCGGGAGGTGGACAGAACCAGCACTGCACTCTGCTTCCCACCCCTGGGCTGAGCTACATGGGTCTGTGCTGCTGCTCAGAGCGCAGTCCTGGCTCTCCCCTGCCTCCTGCCACCGGGCTGCTTCGAAACTCAAAATGTTTAGAAACTTTTGAAATTTTTCAAGTGCCCTCATTTTGTTTTGAAGCTGTTTCGATGTTTTTTGTTTCATTTAGATTTCACTGTTTCAAGCTTGAAACGCGTCAAAACAGCTTTGAAATGAAACACTTGTTGAAATTTTGCACAGCCCTACTTAACGATATGTCATAATGCAGCCTCATGGAACTGCCTTATACTGGGGTGCTGGGAATGTGAAGGTAAGAAGGTGCTTTCCAGCTGCGAGTCCAAATCTTCATGTTCTCCTCTACTGTCTCCTCCTTACTGCAGACATTACTTGGCAGTAATCCCTGCTGATCTCCACTATCCATCAGTCCAAGTTGCCTGCCTGCATATCACCTGCAATGAGGAGAAGATCTATGCAATGTTGTCTATAGAGCAGTCTGAAGGATACAATGTCTTGGTGCACAGTGAGATTCAGGAGAAAAGAAGCTTTGTGTGTAGCAAGTTCCAGGTGAGTTTCCCACAGCTACAGCCCTTGTGCCTCTTCCACCATTTCCATTTCTTTGTGGACACTAGCCCCGATAAAAGGTATTAGTCTGACAGCTCTTTACATCACTGCCCTGCAGTTCTCCCTTGGTCAGGTACAGCATGAGCAGGTTTCTCATGCTCACCAGCCTCACCAGACTTCCTCCGCCATGTCTGAGAAGAATGTACTGCAGGGAGAAGCATGTCAGCTCATTGTCCGTGGCCCCAGCCCTTCCTCAGTGTCTTTACTGAAGTAGACAATGAAGAAGCCAATTAAGAAAGCTGGGCTTAAAAAAAAAATTTTTTTTGCTGAAAAATGAAGTTATGAGGTGGCAGAAAATTTCTGTGAATGGGGCTAGAAACTCGGAGAAGCTCCAGCCATTTTTTAAAATGCCAAGTGAACTACTCTGATGTTTCCAAACCTTTCGATGTTGGAATTAGTTCGACAGACGGACCCAGTTCCAATCATGAGGTCATGACACCAGGAGCAGCTCCCCTAACACACTATAGCTTAGGGTTTGTGGTGCTCACAGTGAGGATAGATGACTCAAATTCATACTCCCTTTCACTCTAACTGGAACAGGGACTTGAACTGAATTTGATGTCCCACCTGCCTGGAGACTGCCCTCACCACTGAAGCAGGGTATTCTGGGCTGGGCCTCTCTCAGTCCCTTCTGATAAAGCTGTTTGTATAAAATACTTAAATATTAATTGGACCAAGCTTTGAAACCCAGGGGCACGTCCAGACAAGCACAGCCGTGTGGTGCTGCAAACACATCTGCAGTGCCACATACCGCACAGTCAGGTGTTCTCTGTGCTGCATGGGCACACTGCTTATGTGTGCGCTGCTCCATTTTTTCCCCCCGCAGGTTTTTTTGACCCCTGGATATCTGGGGGTCAAAAAACCTGCAGGAAAGAAAAAAAGAGTAGCATGTACACAGGCAGTGGGCTCCCCTGAAAAGCAGAGGTGGGCCACCCAGAGCTGCACTGCAGCTGCCAGCCAGGCTCTGCCCAGCAGGATTGCTGCCGCTGCAACCCCGGAGGCCCCCAGAATCCCAGGTAAGGCTGCTGGGGCCAGCACAGTTCTGGCTCCAGCCTCCCTACTGGCCCTGGGTTAACTTGCCACGTGCCAAAGTGTGCATGGCACGGGCATTCCCTAGGGACAAGTAGCGGTGGCACAAGGTGCGCCACTGCTACTTGGCCCAGGGAACCAAATGTCTGTGGTTGTCTGGATGCAGTCCAAGTGTCCCTTTAACTGGATGAGTGCCCCAACTGTTGGATGATAGTCATTCTTTCTCTTGCTCTCACACTATGAGCCAACAAGTATTTCATTAATTCTGCAAAGTGGAATAGCTTCAACAAGGCAGTCTGAGAAAATTCTGTTCCTGAATATCTCATAGCCCAATGATTAGGGAAGTCTTGTACAAGGAAGGTCCAAATTCAAGTCTCTATTCTGAATCACCCAGTTCAGCCTCCACAAGAGAAGGCTGAGAGGAGATCTTGTGGCTGCCTACACATTCATTAGGGGGACGCAACAAGGGATCGGAGATGCTCTGTTCATCAGGGCACCTTTTGGGGTAACAAGGAACAAAGGTCACAAACTGACAAAGAGCAGATTTAGGTTAGACATCAGGAAAAACTTCACAGTAAGGGTTGCCAGAATCTGGAATGGGCTTCCAAGGGAGGTGGCGCTCTCCCCTACCTTGGGTGTTTTTAAGAGCAGGCTGGATAGGCATCTGGATGCTGTCATCTGACCCCAGCACTCTTTCCTGCCTAAGCAGGGGGTCGGACTCAATGATCTGTTGAGGTCCCTTTTGACCCAAACATCTATGAATCTATGAATCTTTGTCTCCCAGAGCCCAGGTCAGCGCTCTAACCTAGAGCTATGAAACACAAGTATGGCACCAACATCCCCTTCAGAGGTTAGCCTTTCATTTACAGATTTCCTTTGTTTTTGTTAAGATGTCCAGAATCAAAACAAAATACATTACACAAAAGACAGAGAGAAGAAAAGAAACACATTCATTTCTGGTGAAATGATCAGGCTTTGTTTTGTTTTTTGCGTGGCTGGTTTGAAAATGTATTATTTATGCAGCTCTACTAATCAATGCCAGGTAGCACTGAAGGTGTGTGTGATGTGGGTGCCAGATCCTCTGAGAATTGTACTGTGATGGAGTAATGGAATAACATAAAAATAGGTCTGGAAAGGACCTCAGGGATTCATCTAGTCCAACACCCTGCTCCAGGAAGGTTCATCCCTATCTACACCATGTTACACATGAGTTTGCCTAACCTAGTCTTAATTTTTTTTAGAACAACTCTCATGGATAACTACCAGGCACAATTACAGAATCATCAAAAACACCCTTTAATTTGCCAGAGGTAAAGCAGGGGGGTGAGGGCACTGTCAGTGTCCTGCCACTGTAAGGACAGGCATGAGAATTAAAATATGCTCAAAAGAGACATTCCCAAGGGGAAGAAACACAGCAGCAGCTCAGTTTATGCAAAGGGCAACAAAAATTATCCTGATGGGAACATGTGTGTTGGTTTCTATAAACTACAAAGGACACTCTCAGGGCTAGTTACCATATGCAGAGAATCTTTACAGTACTCTGGGGTGAAAGGAATTTGCTTTCCACAAGAAAAGAGCCAGCACTTACCTGTGCTTTCTTTATTGAGGCTGCTGGACATGGACAAATTCTCTCATTCTGGCTTTCTCCTTCCAGACTGACTAACACAACCCGAGTTCTCTGATATCAGCATGTGGAGGCAGTTAGACCTACCCCTATGCCTCTCTCAGCTTTATGGTTTCTTACGGCTCTGACTCCCTCAACCTCCCATATGGAGGAATATGAGGATATCACTGGTCTCTTCCTGGCAAGCAGTCAAGGGGGTAAAATCCCTGGCTTGTGGGCTCCCATGTGACATAGTGTGGAACTAGTTGAATCTGAGTGTGGAGAGAGGGAGGGGAGTTGTCATTCCTGTGACTCTAGGCTAGGGGGTTATTGTTCCCCTGTTCTTCTCACTTCTTCCCACAGTGTTAAGGGGAAGTGGGGAGACTGTTCATGTGCTCTCTTTCTCTCTTTCCCCATACATAGGTTTCACCTCCAGCTGGAGGCACAGAGGAGGTTGCTACCATCAAATTGTTCATCACTGGCCGCAGGATCAGTGTTGCTGAGGAAAAGAAGGTCCTGATCCATAGGGTTGGCACCAGCACCTTCATCCAGACGGACAAACCCATTTATAAGCCAGGACAGACAGGTGGCTCCCATCTGCCTTGTTCTGTACACATGCTGGGACAGATCCTCTTGGGAAGGAAGGCAGAGGCAGCCTTTTGCCACCTCTCCACTCTTTCTCTAACCTCTTGGAGCCATGCCAACTTTCAGTATAAATAAGAGCTATCTCAAGGCGGTAATCATTTTTGTGCTGGCTTAAAGAGCCCCTGGAGCCCCTTGGAGTCATGTCAATCTTCAGTATAAATAAGAACTGTCTTGAGATGGTGACCATTTGTGCTGGTTTAAAGAGCCCACTTAGGGTCATTGTACTAGTTTAGGAAAATCAGGGCATGTTGTGCTCTGGGTTCTTTCCCAGCCCTCCGACACTCCCAGCCTGCCACTACCCCACCAGCCATGGTGACTTTACCTCACCAGAGAGTCTCCTGACATTATTGCTCTGTTTTGTAGGCCCAGAAATGCCACAAAAGGGATACCCCTCTATACAATATATACCATCTACTTTATATGTGATCCTACCACCCTCTGTTGAGTAAGGAGAGGACTGCTCAGCTATATGTCACAGGCCCTTTTGTTTAGTTGGACAGGCCACGGCTCTCAGTGCAGGAGGATCTAAGTTTCACCCCAGCTGCTGCTGTAAAGTTCTTAATAGCTTCAGTGTATAGCCGTGCCATGGCTGGGCAAATCCAGACAGCTTTTGGCTGATGAATGTCCTTGGGATGAAGGTGTGAATATCTATGTATGTATTTATATAACACTTTGTGTGCTAGACTCACATCTTCATACTCTGAGCATATGTTGGGTGGGGACAGGAGTAGGCAAGATCTGAAAGAGTAGGGAGGCTGCAGGGCAGGACTGAGGACTACCAGAGTCGTGTGAGGAGACCAGCTCTGGTATAGCAGCAGGGTGGGATTGAGAGCTGACAAATTCCTTGAACTTTTAATTAATCTTTATGTTTATTTTTCTCTTGCAGTGAAATTTCGTATTGTGACCATGAACCAGGACTTCATTGCACTCAACAACTCGGTAAGTCAAGTCTGAGGGGTTGTGGAAGAGCCTCCTTTTGTTTCACATCCCAATCCTATACTTTTGCCAAGCCTGTCCAAGCTTCTATGCTTTCTTATCTCCCCAATTCATGCATGGACTTGGCCTGTCAACTGTCTGAAGGGGTGCAGACAGAAGTGATAATTTTTGCATGATTTTGCCCCTAAAAGCACTCTACAGCCATGGCATAACACACATGCATGGCTGCAGAGCACTTTTAAAATGGCCAATCACATGAAAAAGTACCATTAAATCATTTAAATCAGGTAGCAAATAAAGGCACTCTATATTAGAGTGCCTTAGGGAATTTGTATACAGTTCCCTACTAGGGTTATGCAGGAAGGGGATGGGGGGAGCAGATGGTCAGTGATCGGTGGTGGGGGTATCCCAAGCAGGACCCTCTCCAGCAGGAGAGGGTTCCCAGTGACCCATGGCATCAGTAGGGAGGGGCACAGTCCCCAAAATGCCTTCACACTGCCACCCCACATTGGGGAATTAATCCTGGCTGGCTCTTTGCAGCTGGACTGCAGGTGAGGAAGGGGGAGCACCTGGGCAGGGACTGGGCTGGCTGGTTTCCACAGTAGGCTACAGTGCCCCCTGCCTCCTGGCCTTGGCCATTGCATAGATGCACTCAGCCACCACCAAACTCTGGATGTCTGTTAGCTTCAATAACTTGTGTAAAGGGCAAAAAGTCACAGTGTGATTGAGGTGCCCTTCTGTAAGTTCTGTAAATACCTTAGAAGAGTAACTCCCATAATAACATTTGATAACCCACTGTTAAAAGCAGATGGCAGTGGGGTCCAAACACCAAGTGCAAAGCTCTGCCTGTACTAAGGAGGGAGCTATCCACCAGCATAAGATGACCACCCATCAACACAAGATGGCTGCCCACCAGCACAAGTTGGCCATCCATCAGCATCAGATAGCTGTCCATGACTGCAAGCACTGTACATGCTCAGCCTTTATTGAGTATATATCAGTTCCCTCTACTGGCTGCATTGCTGCAGCTGCTGCTTTTCGGAACCTGGTTTGTGAGAGTGCACCACTGTGTCCTGTTAAATGTACTGAAAGGACAGGTCTGCTTCCTGGAGGAATCTACCCTAGTGTTATATGGGAAGAGGACTCTCTTAAGCTAGTACTTTTCTGGGAGTCTTCTATGAGATCAGCATTGTGTAGCAGGCTGGGCCAATGTCAAACAAGGACACGGCTCCCTCAGCCTGGGACTCTTAAAGAATAATCCATTTATAAATGTAGTGTTGCCAGTTCCTGAAAGTGGGGACCTACCAGAAAGATCTCAAAAAAATTGCCAAATTTCACCAGCTGGACCTTAAACAAAAAATTGATCATTAGACCAAGTATTGCACATAGTAAACTGCTCATACTTATGCCAAATTTTATCCCACCTATTAGGTGCATAAGTGGACTCAGGTGCCTACGTGTGATTCTATTCTAACCTATTCATGTCCTGT